CCCCGCCTCGGCTTTAGCCTTTTTGTCTTCCTCCTCCAGCCTGCCTCCTCCCCCTCCCTGTCCTCTGCCGTCTCTGGGGGTAGGGGACGAGGAGGAGGAGGAGGAGGAGGAGGAGGAGGAGGAGGAGGCAAGGGATGAGGAGGATGATGAGGAGGAGCGAGAGGAGGGACACGGAGGAGGAGAAGGAGCAGGGATGGGGAGGATGAGAATGGAGGGAGGGGGAGGGGGAATATGACGGAGGAGGGAGGAGGACGAGGATGACGAGAAGGCTGTCCCCAGAGGTCCCTGGAGGTTCCCTGGGGTCTCCGCGGAGTGCCCTGCCCGCAGGCCTCCGGAGCCCTCCGAAGGCCCACAAAGTGAGAATCTGGGCGCCTTTCTCACAGAGAGCTCCTCTTGTCTGCTTCTGCCTGTCCAGGGGGGCAGGAGTTGTCCTTGGGCCGGCGCCAGCAGCGAGCAGCAACAGAAGCGCGCTTTGTCCAGTGGAGCTTCATGGTTGTTCTCCATGCCCCTTTTCCCCCAAAGACAGAAACTTCCAGCCTCGATCCTCGAGCCTCGGTCCTCGAGCCTTTCTCGAACCTCGACGAGCAGGAGGAACTGCGACAGGTCCGCGTCGCGCCGACGCGGCGGCGACCCCGGTGCGGGCGTTCACGCCGCCGCTGGCCGGGAGTCGGCTCGTGTTGAGCGGTCGGCGCCATCGGGAAGGCGCCGACCGTTCGAGGGTCAAACGATCCACGCGGGGCCCGAGGTCGTCACGGCACGAACCCGCCGTGGTAGGCGTCGAGTCTATACCTCATCTCTGCGCCGGCAGTGCTGCTCCGCTCTCCACGCCGCGGCCCCTCCGCTGGAAGCCCCGGGTGTCGCTCGAGTTGCGCTGCATCTCTGGGGAGACCTCGTCGGTGCTGCGAGTTGCGGTCTTCTCGTCTATGCCACGCGGGTTCGGCGCGGATGCGGCGCGCCCTCGACGTGCGGCATTGATCCGACGCGGATTCGACGCGGTCGGCGGCTTGGTGGGGCAGAACAGGGCGCCCCGAAGATGCAACCAGAGGTGAGTGGAGTGCGGGCCCCCCCGAGCGCAGGGAGCAGCAAGAGGAGCCTTGTCTCAGAGGAGCGAGAGGTGATGAGACTGCTAGTGGGCGAGAAGCCGTAATGAATTGCTCATTTCTGACATCGGGGGCGCCTGTCCCAAGGCGGCTCGACAGTTTATACCCCCACCTGCCACCGTAGGACAGGCGCCCCCGATCGCGGACGAACCATGTGTCATACCGTTCTTCGCCCGCTGATATGTCTACATAGATATTCATACAGATGCACACATGTGTGTACATATAACATACTTATTCAAGTGATGCGTTCTATGATTTTCACGTTTCCTTGCATCCCCGTGCGCCCGGAAACGCACGGTTTAGCACGACTGGCCGAGGGCCGCTAGAAATTCCAGAATGTCCAGAACGTATCCTGAGCCTATCGCACCACGGCGTCATTATCATCGTCCCGCTCCCCACCCTCGTGCCCTTGCCGACGCCCGTCGGAGCTGCTCGGGGCCGTCGCTGCGCGCGCAGGTTCCTCCCGGAGATCAAGAAGGAGATCAACGAGAAACGCCGGAACGTTCAGGAGCCGCTGCCGTCGCCTGGTGGTCGTCCAGATAGCGCGTCGGAGGTGGACAGCACCCCCACCCTGACACGTCGATTAGTGAATTGTGCATTTTCGTTTCTCGAGAGGGCGCCGCGGCCGTTGTTTTCCAGGCTTGCGCCCGCCAGGTTTGGGCCCGAGGTCGTTTTTTACTAAACTACGTTTTGCGAAAGGGCGTTTTCTCCATCCCCGAGTGCAGCGTGCCATTCGGCGCTCCCCCCAAAAGGTGCAGTGACCCCAGCGTTTCGCCCGGTTTTTCGGGCCTGGGACCCTCGCAGATGGATATCTGGCCCGAAGACCGCTGCAGAAAGATGCGGTCTGGGGTTACGTCGGTCGTGTCCCTCTACGGGAGGAATGCTCAAGAATAGTAAAACAACAGTCGGGGGACGATCTTTCGAGTAGTTCTTTCAACATGTTTGAATATTTCGGAAGTATTTTTTCGCTCAACAACCACCTGTAGGAGGACACGCCCGACCGAAGTCTCGGGCTCCAGCCGTGATTTTCCATTCGGTTTCCACTTTTCGCAGCGTCGGATCTCAGGGCGTGCGGTGAGTCCGTGGGGATTCGGGGGCGGGTCCGGGTCGTTCTCCGAGGGCCGTTTCTCGGGCGACCGGGGCCTCCCCGAGGCCCCATGGCAGTGCGGCGACGGACCGCGCGGTGAGGCCTCTCGGGATCTCGGGGTCGCCGCACGGCCTGTCCACACGTTTTGGGATCCCCAGGCCATTCGCGAGCGTGCCTCGCGCCCTTGTCCAGAATTCTGGTGCCCTGGTGCCGCATCCGCTGCCCCCTTAATTCGATGGTGCCAGTGGGAGGGAGTGTTTCGTGCTTCGCCATCCCTCTCTCCTCCCTCTCCGTCGGGCCGAGCCGATTCGACATCGATTCTGGCCGGCCCGATTTGGTCAGGTTCCGATATTCCGACGATCCGATTGGGCCCGATGCTTGAAAGGCGTTGTCGTGCATCCTGGCGCGGCTGATTCGATTCGATTCCGACTCCGTGCCGATGCAGCCCGATCCGACCCATATTCTGATTCCATATGATTTCCCGATTCGATGCTGGCTGATTTTGCCCTGCCTCCACCCTCCCTCTTCCCCTCTCTCTCTCCGGATTCTAATATTTTCATCTCCCTCCACCGCCCATCGCTGTCCCTTTCCTCCCCGTCCTTCCCCTCTGGGAGTTGCTGTTACGGGATCGAGGGTGGCAGTCCGAGTGCGGCAGGAACAGTTTCGATGTTCTACATATCACCACGCAGTGCGGGCTCCTGTCTCATACGCTGGGCTGCTGACTGCATGCATCTGCATGGACTTGTGGCATTGCTTGCCAGGATCGTCTGGATGAACTTGGGCAAGGCATTCCCATCGACGAGGCGCGCTTCTGTTTGCGCTTCTTGGTCGTCGCTGCATTGTTGCTTCTTCGTTGCCGTGCGAAGTTGCCTGCGTAGCAATGTTGCAGGAGGCGGCTGCACGCGTGTTCACTTTTCCTTTCTGCTCTAACAGCGTTTCGCTGGAGCGGTGCCAGAGTGGTGAAAAGCCCCAGAAGAGTCCCACAAGAGCGACGGGGAGCCCGTGCACGCCCGCTGCCGGCAGCCGTTTCGCCGGAGACGTCCCTCCAATTTACTCAGGAGTCGTGCTCTCGCCTTGCTGCCGGTCCAGACGGCCACGAGCTTCCGAAGAGCACGCGCTGAGGTGCACGTGGCCTGGATCACCAGAGGGAGTCTGGAGCACCGGGGAAGTTCCGAAACGGGAGGGTCTTCACGCGTCGGGCCCCCTTCGGGCCGGACGAAACGGGGGGATTCGGAAAGGGGGGGTTACGAAATTCGCTGCATGCAGCTGGTTTCGGCCTCACCGAGGGGCCCATTCCTCGATACATAGCCGCCTCCGGCGCCGGGAGGCGCCGGGAAAATCAGCTACGTGAGCTCATTCTCAAACCCCCCTTTTGCTATCCCCCCCTTTCGCCCGACCCGACCCCTGGGAGGCGGCACTTGTGTGACACCGTTGCGACACGCTTCCAGGTGCTCGAGATTTTTTTTTGGATTTGGTCCTTGAGTGCGCTGGGAGCAACACAGCCCAGGGCGCTGAGTTTGCAGCGGCCCCCAGACCCCGGGGGGGCCTGGGGGCTCCCAGGGGCTCAGGCTCCGAGCCCCGAGGGCCTGGCGGCGATGTGAGGCAACTGGTGCGCTGGTTGGCTGGCAGCCCGGGGAGCACAGCTACGTGGCGTCTCTCCTACGCATGCCGAAGGAATCGACCACGCTGCTGTTAAGGACGGTGATAGACTTTGCTCTGCTATGGCTTGGATTCTCTCCGAATGGCCCACCCCAGGAGAGATCTTCGGGGAGCTCAATAAGGGTAGTGTGGGGCCCAGAGGTTCGCGTGGTCCGGTAGGCCACCGCGCTCCCGATTGGATTGGCGGCCATTGGAGATGCGAAAGCTGTATGAGACGCGTCAGTCTCAAGACGAGTTTTGTTTGCAACAGCAGGTTGAATCCTTCTCTTCTCAAATTGCTCAGCAACCCTTGGTATAATCAGTATTCCCTGCGTCTTGCTTGGACGGTCCCTCATGGGACCTTCTGTGCAGCATGTGGGGCTTCCTCGACTTCAGAGAGCCTGGCTTCAGGTAAGAAAGAGGTGCACCCCCGATCCCAAGTCAAAGGAACTTAGGGCCCTCCTCGCGAGCAGGCTGCCAGGCACCATGCTCAAGCTTGGCCCAGCTTCACCAATCGCTAGGGCCCCTCTCGGCGACGCGGCGCAGGAACTGCAGCGGGCCGCCAAGGCCCAGGAACCGATGATGGGGTGGGTGCTCTCTAATGTTTCTTCTGCTTCGTAGTCGTGCGCTGTGGGACTGCGAACCTCTTCTGGTTGCCCTGATTGCCCAGAGGAGGAGGAGGAGGAGGCGGAGGAGGAGGAGGAGGAGGAGGAGGAGGAGGAGGAGGAGGAGGAGGAGTATGAGGAAGGGGGCCGCGCGAAGGCCGAGCGAGTGCAGCTCATGTGGACCATGGTGACCGACTATTGCGAGATGTTCAAGAACTCGATCCGCGGGAAGTACGACAGGCCCCAGGGGGAAATTCCTCAAGTATGAACGCTTCGCGCCCCCCCGCCGGAACATCCAGACACGATGCCCAGAAGAGGAGCGCGGCGTCATCTTGAGATGTCAGGGGGGCTGTTTGGGCCAAAGGCCCGTTGGATGTCTCCCTGGTCCTTGTGGGTTGTCCTTTCATGACCTCTCAGAGGCATCACGGGGCGTCTTGGGGGCCTTTTGCCGGCTCTTGGGGGCCCCCTTGTGCGTCTTGGGTGCCTCTCGGGGGCCTGATGGGCCTCCTGGGGGCCCGCTTGGAGGCATCCCGGTCCGTCTCGACGCAACGTTCGGCCGCCTTGGGGCCATCTTGGGCCGTCTTCGAGGCATCGTGGGCCATCTTCGCGTCCTGGATTCCCTGCGCGGGCCGTCCTGGAAGCTCGCAACGTAGCCATCGTTTTACAAATGATCGTGGCTTGGGAGGCCCTGGAGCGCTTGGGGGCAGCGCCTGGGAAAGCGGGGCGTGCACGATCCTGGAGCGGGTGCGCGTGGGATCTAGGAAGTGACAGCCATGCGAAAAGTGCACCATCCTCGAGCGGGCGCGCATAGAATGAGTGTTCAGGTGTTTGCTGCCATGCGGGAAGTGCACCATCCTCGAGCGGGCACGCGTGAAAGAGAGACTCAGGCATTAGCTGCCATGCTGGAAGTGCACAGTCTTCGAGCGGTTGCGCATAGAATGAGGGTTCATGCGTTAGTTGCCATGCGGGAAGTGCACCATCCTCGAGCGGGCAGGCGTGGAATGGGGGATTCGGTATTCACAGCCGTGCCAGACAGTCTCATCCCCGAGCGGGCACGAAGGAAGTGGCCTCGGGGAATAGGGGGGATGCACGCAAGAGTCAGCTGGTAGAGGGAAGGGCGGTCTTTTATTAGACTTGGAGAACTAGACAGACCTTGTTGGCATTTTTCCACGCCTCAAGTTGCCAGGGGGCACGGTGGCGGATATCCCCACTGCAATCCCCCCACCCTTCGTCCGACCTGGCTTTTGCTTCTCCTCCTCCTCCTCCTCCTCCTCCTCTTCTTCCTCTTCCTCCTTCTTGACCTGCCGTGCTCCTCGGCGTCCTATTCTTCGCCTTCCGTCCTTGCTGCTGGTACTCGACCACCGCGAGGTTCAGGAAGACTTTGCGACCACGTGCGAACCCTACCCTTACGGGTCCACTCGACTCTGGGGTATCGGACCCCCCAGCTGGGAGTTATTTGACAGCAAACATCTATCGAATTCTGAACCCCAGCCGGTCTCTCAGAAATGTGATTTGCAGGGGTAGGATCCACATGTGGTTGCCTAAGAAGGGTCGTGATTTGCTCCATCCGTGGCGCTAGGTCCCAGAACTCTCGGGAGATGTGTCTTTCGTTGTCTCCGGTGACGGTCGTTACCCGGGGGGGGAGGGGGTTCGGACCCGGAGTAATGGTAGCGCTTGGGCGGGGTGGGGCACGTCGGGGCAGGGGTGCGGTGCGATCGCCACAGTGTGCGCGCGAGCACCAGCATGTTGGGGCGCCCCCCACGTGAGATCGTTACTGTCACCCCGAGGGGAGGGGCTTGGCCCGGGTAACAGCCGCTACGTGCCAAAGGAGACAAGCAAGCAATCTGTTTTCCCAGAGTCCTTCAGGTCTCTGAGACCTCACGAGTGTTTTAGAGGTGAGTGCGCCTCTCTTGGGGGCAGCTAGGAGCTTTTGCGAACTTGGACAGCTTATAGTACCATGCTTTGGCCAGGGCCATGCTGCACAGATAGTCTTTGGCCCCTTCCTCGAGCTCGGAGAGCAAAGACAACCTCAGTGCCGCGCCAGTCGCTCGGCCCCAGCAGCGCGCCGTCGTCGACGGAGTGCCAGGCCCTGCCAGGCCTTTTTGTACGGAAGCTGGCGAGTGTCACGCGCACAGCTTGGAAGTGGCGCTCGTATCGTTGACTTTCTTTCGGGTGGGACTGGGGGACTGGGGTAAAACTGCTTCCAGAGAGTTCAGGAACGCTCCCGGAGCGTCCTGGAGCTCGTTGGAACGGGCGCGGCGCCCGATGCATTCTCCGTAACCGCCAGATCCCAGAGATCATCCCCGATCTGTCCTGGTCCGAAGTTGTCCCGGTCCGAGCTTCGTCGTCTGTCTTGCGGACGGACCCTGAGTCCGAGGGCGGCATCCTCGGCGCTGGCTGGCCGCGGCGGCGGCACCCGTGGTGGCCAGGAAGCTTCAGCGCTACTCCGCGAACCTCGCGGGCGGCAGCGCGGGCAGCACCATGTCCGGCGGCGCGAAGGCGAGGGTGCCTCCTCCTCCTCTGCCTCTTCCTTCTCGTCCTTCTCGCCGTCCTTTGGAGGATGCTGAGGCTTGAGGTCTGAAGACACTGAGGTTTGAGGTTCGGGGTTTGAGAACGTTTGGATTCCCACGTCTTGTTTTTCAGTATGTGTGTGCGCGCGCGAGAGCGCGCGTGTGTGTGTGTGTGTGTGTGTGTGCGTTTGCCGGATCCAGCTTGTCCACATTGCGTGAGCTGGCCCTGCCCGCGCGCTCCCGCGCTACTTGCCTTACGCCGCGCCGCCGTGCGCGTGACCGCGACGCCAAAAAGTGTGCGTGTGTGTGTGTGTGTGTGTGTGTGTTTGGCGTGGCGCTGCTCGTTGTCCAGCTTTCGACTTGACGTCTTTCCCCTCTACACCCCACGCCGCCGATTGGGCAGGTCCTTCGGTCTGCGTCCACCCTCCGTGCCATCCACGCCCGGACGTGCTGATGCACGTCCGCCTCTCGTGCCGCTGCGCGGGCACCACCCCATAGCCTGAGCGAGGGTAGGTGCCGAAGCGCCGCATCGCCGATGCATCGGCGATGCGGCTCGATGTGGAATCCCGATTGTTCTCCACGCCGACGGCGCCGATGCAGTGTTGACATCGCCGGTACACCGCCGATGCATCGGCAATGCGGCGCGATCTTCTGACCCCATCTACCCGGACCTCATGTGGGAGGCCCCTAAATGGGTGCGGTTACGATGGGGTGTGTTTTGCGATCGGCGCTGTTGGGGCTTAGGGGTCTTCACGTTGCGCCCAAGGTCTGAGGAGCCCTCTGCTGACCCAGCAGAGATCCCTGTCAAGGTCCTCGCCCGCCCCCCCAGGCGCAGGTTGCAAATCAATTCCTGTGATCGGAATGAACACTGCATACACATAAGCTTTCGGATTTCTGTGGTCGGCGCTGGGCCCCCCCACTCGCGGTGTCTTCGGCGCAGGGGTCTCCAGCACGGATCCTAGAAATCCGCGCAGGTTTCCGAGAAATTCCGAGAAAGTATATCTATGCGTTTTGTTGTTGCCCTATCCCTGTGGTGCATTATCTTCCTGAGGGTGTGCCGAAAAGGGCGGGGGGGCGCGCATGTGGACCCTCTCGTTTGGGCCCTCAGGCGGCGTTCCCTGTGGGGTATAAGTACAATCTTCATGGTTTGTGTGTGTGTGTGTGTGTGCGCGTGCGTGTGTGTGTGTGTGTGTGTGTGTGTGTGTGTGTGTGTGTGTGTGTGTGTGTGCGTGCGTGCGTGTGTGTGTGTGTATATATATGTGTATGTGTGTGTGTGCTTGTGTGCCGAAGCAGTGTGCGGGGTGTGCGCACGTGGACCCGTCCACCCATAGTTTTATGTCGGGCGTGTCCCCCTACAGGGGGATTTTCGACGAAAAATAAGAAATACACCAAACATACCGCAAAAAGGCCAAACAATACTCAAAAAATAGTCCCCAGACTATTTTTGGATTATTTTCTAAGTATCATTTGGGTATTTTCTTATTTTTCGTAGGAAATCCCCCTGTAGGGGGACAGGCCCGACTTAACCATAGTTGGAGGTCTCGTGAGGGATGCCGACGTGGGCGCGGGGACGCCACGGGGGCGCACCCACTGGGGCCACGGGTGGAGCTCCTGGTGCGGGCACGATCCGCGCGAGGGGTGTGCTGCAACGGGCGCGGGGGGGCCGTGCGCCCGCTGGGGTCGCGGGTGGAGCTCCCTTGCGATATCACACTCGACCGCATGAACGAGCATGAGTAAGGGACCATATGCGAATCCTACCCCTGCCCCCCACCATTTCTGAGGGGGAGGGTGGGGTTCACTTCGTTCGGGAGCTCCCGAGCGAAGTGAACCTCACCCTCCCCCTCAGAAATCGTGGGGGGTAGGGGTAGGGTTCACATGTGGCCCCCTACACTCGACCACATGAACGAGCATGAGAGAACTATCCGAGAAGACGACGGGGCACGAAGCGCGGGATGGCTGTGCCGAAAAATCGGGGGCAGGAGAGGAGGACTGCAGAGGCAGGAGGAGGTCAGGGAGGAGGGAGCGAGTGAGCGAGGAGGCGCGCGGCGCAGCTTTACGTGTTCAAAACGAGACCGCAACAATACGGGAGCTTTCGGAAACTGGACGTATATGGCGCCGCCCTCGTTTTTCTTCGTTCCTACTGCTGGACCTTCCTCGAAGCTCTGGTCAGAATGCACCCCGGGAGTGGCCCGGGAAGCAGCGGTCTTGGTACCTTACAGCAGGGGGAGCTACGAGGTGGGATGAGAGTGATATATATATATATATATACACATATATATGTATACAGAGAGGTATTGTGGGAGGTGGATGGATCGGGAAAGGGGAGGAGGAGGCTCGTGCACCCCCCGCCGGCGAGATCCGCAGCATCCTGAACGACTTCCTGATCGAATACACGGACGGGAAGATGACCGCCGAGATGTCGGACGACGACATCGGATTGGGGGATGGGGGCTGGCGGTGGGGCGTGGCAGGGAGTGATGGGGAGAGCCGGCCAGGCTAAGCTGAGTGGAGAGGGGAGGGGAGAGAAGAGTGAGGCAAGCTAGGTGCGCGCGAGCCTCATCTGACGTCCTTTCCCTCCCTCCCATTCCTTCCCATGGCGCTGATTTTTCATTATCCGCGGACTCGTATCATAGCCGACTTGCGACTCCCACAGGACGACCACACTTTCGCATGCACAATACGAAAAAGGGGAGCTGCGTGCACGAGGAGGAGGCAGAGGAGGAGGATGAGGTGGCGTGTGAGCAGGAGGATGAGCAGGACAACGGATGAGAGCGAACAGCAGCAGCAACGGCATGAGCTAAAGCGGAAGGATAGGGAAGAAACGGAGGACCGGGGGAAGACGGAGGAGGGAAAGTGAGGGGGGCGACAACGATGAAGAAACACTCGGAGTCAGAACAGTGGCGGAGCGGGAGGAGCAGCAGGGGAAGACAGAAAAACCAAATGAGGGGGGGGACCGCAATGAAGCCAGACTCGGATTCAGAAAAGTGGCTCGCGCTGGGGCGAGAGCACCGTTCTGAACGACGGGATCAAAGCGCCGATCCGAAAATGAGGTCCACGCTGCAGCGGGAGTACAATGTTGAAACACCGAAATCTTGTGTGTGTATTAAAAAGTAGCACGCGGATGGCGGCGGGCCACTTTTTTATCATCTTCGGGTGCAGGGGGGGGGGGGAAGTGTTCATATTGTGTCATTGTAGACGGGAGAGGGTGGAGGGGAGAGAGGGGAACTGGGGCAGCCAGGTGCTCTCGCGCCATACTATCTGGCATCGGATCCCTCCCACCCATCCCTACCCGTTGCTCTAACTTTCCCATATCCGCCAATCCCCCTGCTAGCTAGAGCAGGCTTTTCAGCAGTTCAGATAGACAGCGAAGGTTGCCAAATCAACGCTGTTAGAAGACAACTTCTGCGTCATTTTCCACTCTTCAGGCCACGCAGAGAACGGAATCCTCTTGAGGGCTCACATGTTTGTGGTTTGGCCAAGAGAGGAGCCTTTGATTGCGCAGCCTTGATGACAGGAGTTAGCAGCCCACACGTTTGGAGGGTGCAGTGAGTTTGGATAATGCTAACGTGCCATTGGTGACCAGGTCCCCAAACATACCAACACCACGATTTCAAAAACCGAGGCACGCAGGCAAGACGACTATGCGCCAGGTGAGACTGACAGGAGGCAACTGTTAGGACATAACACATCATACTGGTATGCGGACCAGGCAGCCCAGAAGCATGAAAGCCAGGCTGAAACAGTGGAACTTGAAGAACCCGTCATAGGGTCGGCCAAAGTGTTTACCGAAGGCCCCGAGGCCAGATAACTCTGGGACAAGCTGTCAAAGACAGCCCCTGAACGACAACCCAGACGGTTTCAGGCAAGCCACTCGCCAGTGTGGGCACGATGGAGGATTTCGCTGCAAGACCTGCCTCAGGCAGGTCAGTCGTAAGGCTAGATTCGCATGCGGAGGAGTAAAGGAGGCAATTCGTGGCCTCCTCCGAGGATGGGCAGGCTCAGGCCATACGTCGCATGCAGTACACGTACAGGGAACTTTTTTGCACCCAGTGTGGCGGCTTTGCCACTGCAGGCTAGGCAAGCTAACGGGGGTGTGCCCGCGTTCAAAAACTAAGACCTCAGAGTTACGCAAGCTGCTCAAAGGCAAAGTGCCTGGGTCAGCAACCACATTAAGGCCAGCATTCCATTTCACTTCGTTGGCCTTAGCAGTGCGGAAGCAGCAGCGTTAGACCCAATCCTCAAGTAAGGCAAACGCAAGCTGGCACCATGTTTGCTTGTATGTGCTGGTTCCACTCATTGTCCTGGTGGCTGGTGAACGCAAGGTGTGGACATGGCAGGATAGGCGCAGAAGCAGTCCTCGGTGCGGCTACTGTTTCAGCCATTGGGCCAGCGATCCTGACTCAGTGGACATGCTAGTCCTGCAATCGGAGCCCGCGTCAGCAGGCCCTCAGCTGCGAGAGGATCGGACGGATGAGCCTGAGAGTGAGTAGCAGCATGAGGGACCTACCTCCTTTGCAGTGCGCACGTGCCGTCGTTGACACTTGGCCGGCCTCGTCAGGAATGTGGGTCATGCCATGCCATGTGGAAGCACTCTGACCGCTTTCGCTTCGTAGCCGCGCTGCCGAGCAGAGCTCCGAGCCGGGCGCCCTCGGATCCGACGTAAGCCATCCGGCGATGCGCCGTCCCGGCGTGTGGCCTCCGTCCCGTCCTGTGATCCGGCCAACTCTCAAGAGGGCGCCGGGGCCCGAGCCTCGCCCGCCCGAGGAGCCGCCACCGGCCCTCGCATACCATCGGCCTCAGGAGGATGAGGAGGAGGAGGAGGAGGAGGAGGAAACGGAGGAGGAGGAGGAGGAGGAGGAGGAGGACGAGGAGGAGGAGGGGGAGGAGGAGGAGGAGGAGGCGGAGGAGGAGGAGGCGGAGGGGCCCCCCTCGGGGCCAGTGGCTCCAGGGACGCGTGCAGCATGGCCCCCAGTCCCGGCACAGCAGCCGGTGAAACTGAATACGCCTCTTGGCAGTGAACGGGAGAAGCAAGTCGAGCCCCTGTGCAATCGGTTCCAGGAGCATAGCGAGCTGGCAGGATGCCAGCGGTACGAAGAGCTGATGCCTTCGAAGCAGCACAGACACTCCAGCTGAGCCTGCCGCGAGAGGTTAGGCTCAGGCTGGGCTAGGATTGCAGCAGGTGGGTTGCCTCAGCAGAGGCCGCCGGGCGGTCTCTCTCGCTTCCCGCCCCTGGGATGGGGATGGAGATTCGAGGCGGGGTGCGTGCGTGTGTGGGGGTGCGTGGGGCTCACGCAACGGGGGTCATCGCCAACGGGGGTCAGCCAATCCCTCTGGGTGTGCCAGGTTTGGGAGCTTCTCAGCGGTCTGCTGGGCTTCGCGACAGGGCCCTGGCCGACCCGGGCTAGCTAGGGGGAACATCTACAGACACAAGTAACCGCCGGCTCGCAGGGAAATATGGAAAATATGGGAAGTGGAGGGGAAGACGAGCGTTAAATATCATATGGGGCATGGAATCCTGGGTTTTTCATTTGCATGTGTGTGTGTGTTTTTCCTGCTCCTTCAGTTTGGGCTGTCTCGGGCTGGTGCGTCCCCGAGAAAGAAGCACGGCGGTCGGTTTCTCGTCCAAGAGCATCGCGCCGCTGGATCAGCCTCTGGTGCGTGGCCTTCGGGCTTTGCATAGTGAGGGGGCGAAAGATGGGGAGGAGGAGGGAGGAGGAGGGAGAAGGAGGGAGCGATATGAAACAGATATGAAACAATCTTGCCATCGAAGAGCCGCCGATCATTCTCAGGAGGGAAGAAAACACACAGACACAATTAATCGTCGATTCCCCAGAAAATCTGTGAAAATATGGGAAGTGGGCGGGAGGACAAAATCCCAGAAAATATGGGAAAATATGGGGAATCTTTTTATTTGTGTGTGTTTATTAGTGTGTCCCAGGGCCCCTTCAAATCTGGCCATCGAAGAGCCGCCGATCATTCGAGATTGAACTATCCACGCAGTGCCAGAAGCCAACGCGGGTCGTCACGACGCGAACCTGCCGCACTCCTGTTCTCTATGCTTTGCTTAGGTCAGTCTGCGGGGCAGTTGTCTTTACGACGCCATGGCCAAAGCACACCATGCGACCAGGAGGTTGTTGCCGGCCAGCGATTATTTGTGCCAGCCCCCCGTCAAGTCTTGACAGCGCACCGAGGTCACTCAGTGGTTCACCACAGGCGTCGTCGCCAAAACAAAAGACCGCCACATTCAATACTTCGCATCCAGGGATTTTTTGGGGGCGGCACCGTCGCCAAGGATCAGCATGCGGCAGGGAAGAATTTGACGGCAGCCGGGGCGGGCGGAGACAACGCCATCCGCGTGCACGAGGGCGACTCGCTGCCTGGCTTCCCCTCGCCGGACCCGCGCCCGCACTCCGCGCGCGCGCGCGCCTGGCGATCCCCGCGCCGCGCCGGCGGGCGCCTCCTTGTCGTCGGTACGATCGCAGTGGGCACTCGTCGGTCGTTGGGAGCATTTCAGAGTGAGGGAGCCGAACGGTCTTACGCCATCCCTCGGTGCGTGCCTGAAATCGGCTTCTGCGGCAAGGGTTCTTGTGGCATTCTCGTTTCTAGAGAAGAATTCGTGTTGACCCCCCACCTGGTGTCCGTTCTATATATTGCGAAGGCCTTACGGCTGGTACCGCAGACCCTGAAGGCGGGACCTCTCCCGGGAACCCCGCTGGCGACCTCCCCTCGGGACCCCCGGAACCCGGGGGGGGGAGGCGGTATTGTGACCCGGGACCCTCCCGCTACCCTCCCCGGGACCTCCCCCCCAGCAGGGAAGGGAAAAAGGAAAGGGGTTTCCTTCGACTTAAATGGCGACGTTTTTCAACTTCCTTGTTTCTCAGTTTCCTCGGTGCTGGCGACGATCCGTGGGACTTGCGACGACGACGACGACGTCGACGACCACGACAGCGCACTCCACATGTCGAATGGTCGGCGGAGATGTTCAACTTACGCGCCTCGCTGGGGCAGAAACCAATTTTATCCCAGAAACTCTTTGGAACGTCGTTGTGACGCTTTTTGTTAGTCCTTTCGAGTTCTTCTTCAACATCCATTATGTTTATTCCCCCCCATTTTTGTTGTTGTTGTCTGAGTTTGAATCTCTCCTTATCCCCCTCGTTCTTGATATGCTTATCCTGGCTCTGCTTCATGTTCCCTTCATGCTTCTCATTGGCCTCACTCTTCTCCCCCTCTGCCTCCTTGTCCTCGTCCTCCTCCTTATCCCTCTGTTCCTCCCCCTCTCCTTCCACCTCCTCCTCCTAGTATGGGCGCTTTCCCGTCGAGAGCGTGGATGTTAGGATGTGTGGAATGTGAGGGCAGTATCGCACTTTTGGACATCCAGCTGTCTTGATGATGATGATGATGATGATGATGATGATGATGGTGATGGTGATGGTGATGGTGATGGTGATGATTCTGAAAATTATGATGATACTCAGGATGAGGATGAGGATGCGGATGTTGCGGATAGTGATGCTGACGTTGATCCGACTGTTGCTGATCATGATGTTGATGACGTCGATGATGATGCTGATGATACTGACGCGGCTGAGGATGACGACGCTGATGCTGATGTTGATGCTCATGATGCTTATCATGATGATGCTGCTACTGATGATGATGATTATACTCATGATTCTAACGATGATGATGCTGATGACGACGATGCTGATGCTGCTGTTGCTGATGATGATGGCTGATGTTGCTGATGATGATGACGACGTCGATGCTGGCGATGATGATGATGATGATGCTACTGATGATGATGATGCTGATGATGATTACGATGAAGAGTATGAGTATGAGTATGAGTATGAGTATGAGTATGAGTATGAGTATGAGTATGAGTATGAGTATGAGTATGATGATGATGAAGATGAAGATGAACATGATGATGATGATGATGATGATGATGATGATGATGACGATGATGATGATGATGATGATGATGATGATGATGATGATGATGATGATGCTCCTTATGATCATGATGAAGCTGATTATCAGGTAGAGGGTGATGATGCGGAGGAGGCCGTTGAGTGGTAAAGGGTGAAAATGGATGGGTTGGTGGATTCTGATGTGGGTCTGGATGAGGATTGGTGGAAGACGAGATGTAGCAGGATAACTTCGGATAATGATGATGCGCGGAAATGATGAATATTAAAGCTCGTAGAGAAAGACTAGGGAGATGAGGATGGCAGCGGTTTAAACTGAGATATATGATCTGGGGGATCAGCCACACGCATACATATGTTTTTTTTATATATGTATACTTAAATGAATGAATCCACACGTGTATACAGGCTGGTGGGGTTTGTTCGATGGATGGATGTGTTTGTCCCGATGGTTGTCCCGTCTTTGGTTTCACCTCTCAATTTCTTTGTCAGCCTTTGGCCGGTCTTATATGTATGTTTTTGCTTTGCATCCCGTATCAACGGGGGTAAGACAATCCTATTTGACCCCCTCTCGCTGACCCCAGGCCTCCGAAATGGGATCCGAGCAGATTGTGTCGGAAGATCGGATCGCACCGCCGATGCATCGGTCATGCGGCTCGGCTCGGAGCTTGGATCTCTTCATGCCGACGTCGACGATGTACTGTTGATGCGTCAGCGATGCGGGGCTATCCTCGGACCCCACTCACTCGGACGCCATTCGGGTGGCCTCCACGGACCCAGGCTTGGGAGCCTCGTGGGCGACGCAGGCTGGCCTCGGTGGCCCGGGGAACGTCCCGGAGGACTCGCGCGGCGCGCAGCAGTTGTATCACCGAGTCCGCACGTCCGCCCCGCAGGAGATGGGGCGACGTTCGCGCGGCGACGTTCCGACGTGAGTCCGATGTGAATTCGGTGTGGCTTCGACGTCAATCCAACGGTTACCCCACGTAAATCCGACGTGGATCCGACGTACACCGTGTCTCAAGTTGCTGCGCGAGGCCTCCAGGATGTTCCTCATTGGGGAGGGGTCTTCTAGTTTTTTTTTTGTGTGTGTGTGTCGCCGTCAGGAAGCGGCTCCTTGGGATGAGGGCCTGGACACAAGCGGTCCCTGGGGGGACGCCCTGGGTTCCAAAGACGCGTTTCCAGCGTTTTTTGGGTGTTGTCAAACGAGTCCCTGGCCAAAGGTACCCATCGTCCGTTGAAAGTAGGTTATGTATTCCCATAATGCAACCTGAGGTTGCGGGGTGAGATTGAAGTGAAACGGAGACCCCCCTCCGGTAAGCCGGTTTCGGTTTCGTGTTCGTGCCGTGCGCCGTCATGCTGGCGGATTTGAGGTCGGGATTGTCCCGCGGTTGTCCCGAGGTTGTCCCGTGGCCGTCCCGTAGTTGTCCCGATAGATGTTCTGCAATTATCCCGATTGGTGTCCCGATGGGTGTCCCGATGGGTGTCCCGATGGTGCATGGATTGGTTGATAGCTAGATCGGAGTACATACATACATATATGCATACATACATACATACATATATACAAGCATACATATATACAAACATACATACACACATACATACATACATCCATCCATCCATACATACATTCTTCCATCCACCCATCAATCCATCCATACGTACACACATGCATACATGCATGTATGCATGCATGCATAACTATATATATATATATATATGTACACATACCTACGTACATACACATTACTACGAACAACCATATATCCATACATGCATACGAATTTTTATATACACTTATGTATATGACCATGGTCGTCACCTAGGTTGGTCGTGATTTTGGTGAGTCTATATTGGAACACCACATAGACATGTACAATGAGGTCGGTATCTGGATAGTGGGACTGGCACATGATGTATACATGTACATTTACCTATTTACACATATATATATGTATATTGGTATATGTGCCAATCCGTATTGCGACCGATACATCGGTGTATGGTGGGGATGGTACATATGTACACATGTGCATACGTACAAATGCATATACGTTCATACCGATAAGTCTATAGGTTGGGTTGGGATATGTACAGTCCGGCCGAGGTTGTCCCGATGGTTCGTTCGATAGTTGTTTCGATGGTTTTCCCGATGCATTGAATGGATGTGAGAGGAATATTTGGATAGTGAGGCGGACATCGGTACAACTACATAGTGAGATCGGCCGACGGAATGTGAGATCAATGGGTGGATAATGATATTGCCATGTGGGTCAGATTTCGAAGCCTATACATCGATATAGGTATGTGCACTGCTATCGCTAAAGCTACACATGTAGTACTACCAATGCGCATGTAGACCTATCGTGATATCGATCGGCGGATCGTTATGCATGCATGTTTGTTTATGACAAGCACTTTATATACACAGGGAGAGACATAACGACGCATACGTACACACATACAGAGAGAGAGAGAGAGAAAGAGAGCGACCACGAGACAGAGAGAGAGAGGTAGAGAGAGAGGAGAGAGAGAGAGAGAGAGAGAGAGAGAAAGAGAGAGTGAACACAAACGATAGACCGTGATAACGATAGGTACATACATATGCAGGTAGAGGGTAGAGGTTGTTCAATGGATGGTCGGTGGATCGTCGGTTAGCCCGATACATATCCTGTCGTGGGGTTCCGCCCACCCCAAACCTCCTTGTTGGCCTTTGGCCGTTCAGATAGATATGCGAACGGTTCCCAGTTTTGTCGGTTTTCAGGGGGCGGGCGGAAACCCAATCTACTTTCATTGCCTTCCTACTTCATGACTCTACCCAATTCTTCCTAACGATGCGGCTCCCCAGGGCCTCCCTGGAGGCCCCCGCGGCCTCCAGAACACCTCGAGAGGCCCAGCGGGCCCCCAGGCGCTCCGCAACGGCGTGAAAAGCTGGGGACACTGGTCCAGGGGCACTTGCGGCAAACCCCGACTCCTCCCTCTCGGTGCATGCAATGCCATCGCATCAGGAGCTTCCACCAGCCTGAAACATGTGCCTATCCCTATGCTTGGCATCGCTTTATCTCGATGATGCCGATCTAGGGGATTTCCTCAGTTTCTGAGGGCGCATTCCTAAGATTGTCATCGCCCTTAGGCTTGGCAATCTTAGGGATAGTGATACGTTCGAGGCTGGTTAAGTTCCCCAAATCAACGGAGGCCATCAGGGCCTCTGGGCTGTGGCTGGCCGCGGGGATCCAGTGACCCAGGCACCAAAAGACAGCCGAGGCCATCTCCACGCTGCAGGGCCCACTTCGATCCAGTCGGTCCGGTTCGATGTCCGTTTCGGCCGGCCCGATGGTATTCGTTTTCGATGTTCCGACGGTCTGATGCGGCCCGATGCTTGCATGGCGCTGTTGTGCATCCTGGCGCGGCCGATCCGATCAGATTCATTGGCTTACGCCACGCCGCTCTCTGACGACCGTCCTGCCGTTCTCCCGGGCCGTTGCTCTGGTTTCTAGGGCCTTCGTGGGGCGCCCAGAGGCCGTCGTGGAGCCTTTTGGAGAGTCTCTTGGGGTGCCAGAGGTCGATCTTGGAGGTTTACTGGGCCGTTGTGGGCCTCGTGAAAGCCCAAGAAGCAATCTGCTGAAAATGTACGTTCACCTAGGGAACGGGACGGTTTTTGCTCCTTGAGGCCTGCTTGGAGCGCCTCGTGGTCGCGTATGCAAAAGTCGTGGACACCCATGGGGCTGTCTGGACGCATTCGTGGGCGGTTTGGACCGAATCGTCCCCCGCGTGGGCCGTCCGGACAGTCTTTGGGAGCCCTCTTGGCCCGTTTTGGAGCCCTCTTGGGACCGTCCTGCGGCTTTCCTGGGCCTTTGCTTTGGTTTCTAGAGCCTTCGTGGATCGCCCGGAAGCCGTCTTGGAGCCTTCTTGGGAGCCTCTTCGGGTGACAGAGGTCGATCTTGGAGGTTAATTGGGCCGTTGTGGGCCTCGTGAAAGCCCAAGAAGCGAATGTGCTGAACATGTACGTTTACCTAAGGAATGAGACGGTTTTTGATTTGGGCGGTTTGGACCGAATCGTCCCCCGCGTGGGCCGTCCGGACAGTCTTTGGGGGCCCTCTTGCTCCGTCTTGGGTCCCTCTTGGGACCGTCCTGCGGCTTCTCCTAAGCCGTTGCTATGGTTTCTGGGGCCTTCGTGGATCGCCCGGACGCTGTCTTGGAGCCTTTTTGGGAGCCTCTTGGGCTGGCGAGGGTCGATCTTGGACGCTTCTTGGGCGGTTTTGCGCCGCGTTGAAGCCGAATGGACGAATGTGTTGAAATTGTACGTTTACGTACCCTAGGGAACGGGAAGTTTTTTGCTTCTGGAGGGCCTCTTTGGGGCGCCTCGTAATATTGTTTCAAGCGTCTTGGGGACTTATAGAGCCGTGTGGAGGCAATCTTCGGCATTTGGGGGCGATCTCCTGTCTTTTGCAGCTCTCTTGGACCGTTCCGGGAACCTTTGGGATCTTTTTGGCTCGTTTGGGGGCCTCCTGAGGCTCCAAGTGAGCGGATGATGGATTTGCCCCCCCCCACCCCCACCCTTCCAAACCGGCCGGACCAGACCCCTGGGGGAGGGGTTTGGGGAGGGGGAAGCATCTCACACGCCGTGACCCCAGGGGGTCGGCGGATTTTTTTGTCCGTGCCAATGCAGCCCGATCCGACGCAATGGCGGCTGCCGTGCTGGGCGCGACTGTGGACCAGTTCTTGGGCGACGACGGGGTCTGCGTCTTCGGACTGAAGGCCTCCCCCCAAAAACCCTTTCGAGGGCCACCTGCGTCACCGCCCTGCCACCCCCTTACTTTCTTCTGACCGCGCGCCCCAGACATTCCCTTCAGGTGCACGTTCTCGCCGCGGACGGCCGCGCCCAACTCGCCAGCCCCGCAGTGGGCGCTTACCACAAGGACAAGACTCCCTGGACGCTCCCCGCGGAGTACTGTGTCACCGGGCCCCCCACGCAGACCTCCGACTTGGTGGCGCTGTTGGGCAAGAAGGTGATCGTGCAGAGCCGCAACAGTACGGTCACTTTCACCCACACCGTGGTCGCGGTGAACGTGAACGACCAACTCAAGGTGGCCAGGTTTCATTACACACTTTCGTTTCTTCCCCCCTCCCCCACGCAGAAACCTGTCCTGCCGACGCCCCTCCTCCATCCGTTCGCCGCAGTCTCCGCGTGCGTTGCCCCTCCCTCGCGCACGAGGGCCCCTTGTCAGCGCCATTCCGGCCCCCCGCCCCCGCCTTCTGACAGTCGCTCCACGCGGCGCATCCCAGGTGGCCCCCGCGGCGAAGGACAAGGAGACCCTCGACAAGGAGTGGCTCCCAGCGCACTTGGTCAAGCATCCGCCTCAGCGGTCGCTCTTCTTTCCTTTCTTCTCCGTGCCTTGCGCGCCCCTCCCCCCTTGCCCCCCCTGTCGCCGCGCCCCCGCGTGCGATTTTTTCCCCGCTTCGCCGCGATCGCGCGTTCCGCGCAAATCGTGCTGCTCAGTCGCGCCCCGCGCGCCCCCCCCCCCCGTCGCCCCGAGGCCTTTCGCGCCTCCCGGCCAGACCGCAGGCCTCCACAAGACGGCGGCGCAGCTGCCGCAGAACGCGCAGCCCCTCCCGGCGTTGACGGCCGCGCCCACGACGCCGCCGCGGCGCCGCCAGGTCCTGCCAGTTCTGCAGGATTCTTTTCCACGAACCGCGCGACTCGGGCCTGCCCGCGTCGCTTCCTGGCCCGGCCCCCCCGCGCCCCCCCTCTCGCTCTTCTCTCCAGTGCCTTCATCTACCTTCGCCGCCCTCGGAGGACGCGTCTCGGTCGCGTTCACCTCCGGCTGCTTCGCGTGCGCCTGCGCGCGTCTACGTGGCAAACCTGCCCCGGGACGCGGCCGTCGCCAATCTCGAGCGCGACTTCGCCGCTGCCGGCGAGGTGGCAGCCCTCTCCCCTTGCCCGCCCCTCCGGCGGCGCTCCTTCCTCCTCCTGCCGTCGCCCGTGGCCTGCCTGCTCTTTCCTCCCTGCCCACGCGTCCGTCTGCGACGTGCCCAGGTGGCCAGTGTGCAGCTGTTCCGCGACAGCCGCGGCCGCTTCGCTGGCCAGGCGGTCGTTCAGTATGCGCGCCGCGAGGCGGAGTTTCTTGTTCTCTCGCCTCCCATCCTTCCTCCGTGCGTTTTGTTGCTGCGCGTCCGGCGGGCGCCACCCTTGTCCACCCTGGTCTGCGGCCCCTTTTTTCTACTTCTTTTTCTTCGCCATCTCTCCCGCTGCTGCCCGCTTCCAGAGCGCAGCGGGTCATCAACGAGTGGAGCGACACCGCGTGCGCGGGCCGCACCATCCACGTGGCGTGGTGCAATAGGCAGTGAGCAATCAGCCGGCAAAAAAAAATGAGGAGGAGGAGGAAGAGAAGAGAAGGAGGAGGAGAAGGAGTGCGCCCGCCGACAGCCGCAGTGCATCGACGAGACGACGCTGACGACGACGACGCCGGTGACGACGACGACGACACCAATGACGACGACGACGACGACGACACCACACCGACGACGACGACGACGCGCCGACGACGACGACGACGCACCGACGACGACGACGACGACGACGACGACAACGACAACGGCGACGGCGACGGCGACGGCGACGGCGACGGCGACGACGACGCCGCGCCGAAGACGAGGGCGACAACGACGACGACGACGACGGCGACGACGACGACCGCGACCACGACGACGATGATAACGACGAACGTGACGACGATTCCGCATCCCGCTGCTACAGTGTGTGCTTTCAATCCACAGGGGCCAGCTTGGCGTCAGAGACCTCGCCTCCACGCTCGGAGAATCAGCGCGTGACGTCGTCTAGCCGACCTTCAGACGTCAACAAAGCACGCTCTCAGATGCTGCGCGCGAGAATGGCCCTGCCAGTTTCGCACGAGACATTCTCGCACCTTTGGGATCCGACATTCTCTGACATGGACTGGTGTCGCCAGTTTGGCCTGAGAGAGACTTCGTCGCAACTCCGAGCGCACAGTTGCCCTCGCCTGAGATGATTCCTCTCGCTTCGCGGGGTGCACGTCCGGAGCACGTACAGTCCAGCCGTTGTGGGGCTTTTTGGAAGCCTCCTGGGGGGTTCTTGGAAGCTTCTTGGGGGCTTCCTGTGGCGTTTTGGGGGTCTCCTGGGGGCCTCTTGGGGGCGTCTTGGGCCGTCTTGGGCCTCCTGAAAAACAGATGTTGGCTTGAATGGCATGCCGTCTCCTGTAGTCCTCTGCGGTGGCGTTTCCTGTCGTCTTCTGCGGTGGTCTGCCGCGCCGTCCTGCAATCGTCGAGGCATCCATATGGAAACGTCCTGGAGTGGTGAGTTGGGAGCTCCTTGGGCCCCTTTCAGGGACTTCTGCCGGCTTTTGGAAGGCTTTTCGGGCGCATTTGAGAACCCCTGAAAGCCTCTTGGGTTTTTTTTGGGGGCGTCTTGGGCCGTTTTGGGGCGCTATTTCGGAATCTTTTGGGGGGGTCATGGAGGCTTCTTCGGGGCTTCCCGGGTCTTTCGGGGGGCCTCTTGGGGGCGTCTTGGGCCGTCTGCGGACGCTTGGAGCCGTTTGGCCCCTTCGGGGGACTTCTTGGGGGCCGCTCGCGGCCGCCTTGGGGCCCTCTTGGGGTCGTCTTGGGCCATCTTGGGGTGCTCTTGGGCCGTCTTGGAGGCCTCTTGGATCGTCTTGGGGGCCTCTTTGGGCCGTCTTGGGGCCCCCTTGGGTGCTGCTTGGGCTGTCTTGGGGCCATTTTGGAGGCTGCTAGGGCCGTCATGGGCCTCTGAGAGCCGGGAAAGGCGAGAACGCGAAATTCTCTGAAACAACTTAAGGAAAGTCGATGTTTTTGGCCTCTGGCGGCGTTCTGGTGGGCGCTCTGAGGGCCCTCTTGGGCAATCTTGGGGGCTTTGTGGGCCCTATTGGGGCCATATTGGGCCGTCTTGGGGCCGTCTTGTCCCGTCTTGACACCATCTTGAACCGTCCTCACGCCCTCTTGGATCCCCAAAATGCTCAAGGTGCCCAAATCATCGGTTTTCCATAGGTTTTTCTAGATTTTGAGGCCCAGAAGGGGCCCTCCTCCTGAGGGTCGATGGAAGTGGCGCGATTCCAGGGGGGGGTAGGGGGGACACATAATAATGTAACATGATGCAACATGTAGGAATTATGCAAGCATTGGACACATTGGATCCATTGCATTACAGCATCCGCGGACCTGCCTCCGGCAACACGTCACTTCCGGACGTGGATTCTTCAGGCTTACGCCACATCCGCCGACCCCTTATGAAGAATCGCGCAGTGGTCTGGTCGCCTCTTTGGGTGGTCTGAGGCCCCTGGGCCATTCTTGGGGCATTCTTGGGTTGTCTTGGGCCCCTTAGGCCGTCCTGTGGCAGTATTGGGCTGTCTTGGGGTTCTCTTGGGTTGTCATCGGCCTCTCTTGGGCTGTCATGGGGCGCTCTGGGCGTTTTTTTCGGCCGTCTTGGCCGTCGCCATCTGTTGCCGAGGACTGTGGTATGCCCTTGGTGACCTCAGAACTGCTTTGCGGTGTCTTTTGGAACCGTCAGGTGCGGCCGTGGGGTGACCTTGAATCGTTTCAGGCCATCGTGAAGCTATCTTGGCCCTTCTGACGTTAAGCGGAACTGTCTCGGCGTCCTCTGAGGCTGTTTTGGCGCTCCATGAACCTCTCTTGAGCAGTCCTGGAGCTCTCGCGTGTCGTCCCGTCGCCTGGTGGACCGTCTTGGCGCGACCTGGAGGCGATCTGGGGGATTTCGGGGTCAGGTGGATCCGGTGGGGCCTTCGGCTAGGGCCCTCCCGAGGATGATGACGGCGACGATGATGATGATGATGAGGAGGAGGAGGGCGACGACGACGAACAGGTTGATCATGATTATGGTGATGAGGAGGAAAAGTAGGATGATGAGAAGGAAGGCGAACAACATGAATAGCCGTCATGCGTGACAACTGTCGTGTGTTCACTTTTCGAGGAGCCCTTATTGAAGAGGGGGCCCGACACATGTGACACCTTTCGTTGTCACTTCTCGAGGAACACTCGTGGACTTCAGCGCGCGACCTACACGCTGTTTCGCTATATGTTTGGAGTGTTTTGGTTTGTTGTTTTGTTTTTTATTCAAAACATGTTTTGTTATTGGTTTAAACGAATCCAGAGAACGATGCCCATCAGAGTTCGGAGTGATGCGTTCTGTTGTATGTTGTGTTTTGGCGCCAGCGACGCATCGTTGTTGGGTTTTGGTGTGTTTGAATATGCAACTCCAGCTGGTGTTGCGTTCTGTTTCGTTGCTGCTCGGGGTCTTTCTACCCAGCGTGCTGCCTTTGTAAGTGCGCTCGGCGTGTGCTCGTTTTGTTGTTTGTTTTGTTCTTTCGTTTTGCCCTCCCCCTTTCGTTTTACCCTCCTCCCGTTCCGTTTTACCTTCGTCCCCCTCGTTCCGTTTCGCTTCCGTTCCGTTTTACCCTCCTCCCGTTCCGTTTTGCCCTCTTTCCGTTGCGTTTACCCCCTTTCCGCTCCGTTTCACCCTCCCCCCGTTCCGTTTTACCTTCCTCTCGTTCCGTTGCAACCTCCTCCCTTGTCCGTGTTACCCCTTCCGTTCCGTTGCACCCTCCTCCCGTTCCGTCTTACAATCTTCCGTTCCGTTTCACACTCCCTCCGTTCCGTTTCGTTTTACCCTCCGTTCTGTTTCGTTTTACCCCCCTCCGTTTCGTTTTGCCCTCCCTCCGTTTCGTTATACCCCCCCATTCCGTTTCGTTTTGCCCCCTCCGTTTCGTTATCCCCTCCGTTTCGTTTTACCCCCCTCCGTTTCGTTTTATCCCCCTCCGTTTCGTTTTACCCTCCTTCCGTTTCGTTTCCCCCCCCTCCGTTTCGTGTTACCCCCCTCCGTTTCGTTTTACCCTCTTTCCGTTTCGTTTAACCCCCCCCCTCCCGTTTCGTTTTACCCTTACGTTTCGTTTTACCTTCCCTCCGTTTCGTTTTACCCCTCTCCGTTTCGTTTTACCCCTCTCCGTTTCGTTTTACCCTCCTTTTGTTTCGTGTTACCCCCCTCCGTTTCGTTTTCCCCCCTCCGTTACGTTTTACCCTCCCTCCGTTTCGTTTTTACCCCCCTCCGTTTCGTTTTACCCACCTCCGTTTCGTTTTGCCATCCCCCCGTTTTTTTTTCTTCCCCGTTTCGTTTTACCCCCCTCCGTTTCGTTTTACCCTCCCTCCGTTTCGTGTTACCCCCCTCCGCTTCGTTTTACCCCCCTGCGTTTCGTTTTACTCTCCCTCCGTTTCGGTTTACCCCTCCGTTTCGTTTTACCCCCCGCCGTTTCGTTTTGCCCTCCCTTCGTTTCGTCTTACCC